GCTCGGGAAGCGCTGCTTTGCTCTGCAAGGTTCCTCAAGAGAAGGGACCTGGAGAAGCTGCTGAGGAGAGAGCAGCACTTCAAATTCTGTGATTGCCTGGTAAGGACGAGCTCAAAGGCCCAGCCCTGGGCTGCACAAGCCCCCAGCCCCCAGTGCCCAGTGTGCGGGGCTGGCCCTGTGCCCCTGGCACTGCTGCAGCCACAGACACCCCCTGCTCTCTGCAGATGGACAAGGACGTGAGCGGAAGGGACGAGCACCTGCGCCAGGCCCTGCCCTACCTGCAGAGCCCCCAGGAGCCCCTGCGAGAGGCGGCCGTCAGGTTCATGGGTGAGCCCCAAGGCCGCGGTCCCTCCCGCCCCGCTGCAGCTCGGCCCCAGCCCCGGCTGCTGCAGCGGCAGCAGATGCGGCCCAGGCTGTGCTGGGGAGCCCCGAGTGCCCTGGGGCTGCTGCCCCCTCTGCCAGCCGCGCCCTTGGGGGTCCCCCTGCGGGGCAGCTGTGCCGCTGGGCCCTGACACGCTCTCTGTTCCCAGGGGTGGCCGCCTGGCACATGAAAGACCTGCAGCCCATCAGGAAGGGTGAGTGAGGACAGCGGGCTCTCACTGGGGGCTGCCGGGGAGGAGCACAGACCCTGGGCAGGGAGCTGCAATCCCTGACCCCCCTGTGCGGGGCTCTGCTCCCTGCATGGATGAGGGACGCTGAGGGAAGAGCAGGGACACGTTTCAGGGTCACAGGGGATTGGGGGCCAGCACGTTCCAGCTCATCCTGTGGGCCCTGCTCCCTCCTGGCCACATAAAGAGGTGGCTGGGATGGCCCTGTCAGGGGGGCTCCTCAGGTCCCTGCAGATGTGGGCTCTGACCGTGGCTCCATGGCTCTCTCTTGCAGCCCTTGAAGCCATGAGCCAAGACGACTGCCCCTCCTACTGCACCATGCGGACTGAATTCTTGTCCGCTTTTCGACGGGCAGTCACCAAATAATCTCCTCCATCGACACAACCAGCGTCCCTACAAGAACACCGGATGACAGGGACGCGGAGCTGGAGCTGCAGCTGATGCCCAACTGAGCCAGCCGACAACGCCACGCAGCTCCTGGACTCCCCATCCCTATGGACAGCCCCTCCCCTCCCCTTCCCATGCCCTTCCACCCCTTTCCATGTCCTTCCTTCCAATGCTCTTCTTCCCTTTGCCTTTCCTTGCCTTCCCTTCCTTTCCCAAACCATCCTTTCCCTTCCCATACGCTCTTTCGCAAACATTCCCTGCCCTTCCCAAACCTTACCTTTCCTTTCCCTTGTCCTCTCCCTGCCCTTGTCCTCTCCCTGCCCTTGTCCTCTCCCTGCCCTTGTCCTCTCCCTGCCCTTGTCCTCTCCCTGCCCTTGTCCTCTCCCTGCCCTTCTCCTCTCCCTGCCCTTCTCCTCTCCCTGCCCTTCTCCTCTCCCTGCCCTTCTCCTCTCCCTGCCCTTCTCCTCTCCCTGCCCTTCTCCTCTCCCTGCCCTTGCCCTTCTCCTCTCCCTGCCCTTCTCCTCTCCTTTCCCTTCTCCTCTCCCTGCCCTTCTCCTCTCCCTGCCCTTCTCCTCTCCCTGCCCTTGTCCTCTCCCTGCCCTTGTCCTCTCCCTGCCCTTCTCCTCTCCCTGCCCTTCTCCTCTCCTCGCCCTTCTCCTCTCCCTGCCCTTCTCCTCTCCTCGCCCTTCTCCTCTCCCTGCCCTTCTCCTCTCCTTTCCCTTCTCCTTTTTCCCTTCTCCTCTCCTTTCCCTTGCCCTCTCCTTTCCCTTCTTTCCTTTCCCTTCTCCTTTCCTTTCTCCCCTCCTTTCCCTTCTCCTTTCCTTTCCCTACTCCTTTCCTTTCCCTTCTCCTTTCCTTTCCCTTCCCCTTTCCTCTCCTTTCCCTTCCCCTTTCCTCTCCTTTCCCTTCCCCTCTCCTTTCCCTTTCCTCGCCCTTTCCCTTCTCCTTTCCTCGCCCTTCTCCTTTCCTCGCCCTTCTCCTTTCCACGTCCTTTCTCTCTCTCCCTTCTCCTTTCCTTCCCTTCTCCTTTCTCCCTTTCCTTCCCCTTCTCCTTCTCCCTCCTCCTCCTTTCCTCCTCTCCTCTCTTTCCCTTTCGCCCTTCTCCCTTTCCTTTCCTCTCTCCTTCTTCCTCTCCCTTCTCCTTTCCTCCTCCCTTCTCCTTTCCTTTCCTCGCCCTTTTCCTCCCTTTCCTCTCCTTCTCCTTCCTTTCCTTCCTTTCCTCCCTTCCCCTTCCTCTCTCGCCTTCTCCTTTCCTCGCCCTTCTCCTTTCCTCGCCCTTCTCCTTTCCTCGCCCTTCTCCTTTCCTCGCCCTTCTCCTTTCCTCGCCCTTCTCCTTTCTTCCCCTTTCCTTTCCCTTTCCTCTCCTTTCCTTTCCCTTTCCTCTCCTTTCTTTCCTCACCCTTCTCCTTTCCTTTCCTTTCCCTTCCCTATCCTTTCCTTTCCCTTCTTCTTTCCTTTCCTTTCCCTTTCCTTGCCCTTCTCCTTTCCTTGCCCGTCTCGTCGCCTCGCCCTTCTCCTTTCCTCTCCTTTCCTTTTTTCTTTTCCTTTCCCCTTTCCTTTCCCTTTTCTTTCCCTTTTCCTTTCCTTTCCCCTTTCATTTACTTTCCCTTCCCAAACCTTTCCTTTCCAAATCTTCCCAAATCTTCCCTTTCCAAACCTTCCCAAACGTTTTCTCTTCCCTTCTCTTCTCTTCCCTTCCCTAACTTTCCCTTCCCAAACCTTCTCTGCCCTTCACAAACCTACCCTTCATAAAAATTCTCTTCCCTTCCTTCACAAACTTTCCCTTCCCAAACTTTCCCTTAACCTTCCCTTCCCAAACCTTCCCAAACCTTCCTTAACTTTCCCTTCCCAAATCTTCCCTTCCCAAAGCTTCCTTAACTTTCCCTTTCTAAATCTTCCCTTCCCAAACCTTCCTTAACTTTCCCTTCCCAAAGCTTCCCTTCCCAAAGCTTCCTTAACTTTCCCTTCCCAAACCTTCCCAAACCTTCCCAAACCTTCTGAAACTTTTCCTTCCCTTCTCAAATATTCCCTTCCCTTCCCAAACCTTCCCTTCCCAAACCTTCCCAGACCTTTGCAAACCTTCCCAACCCTTTCCTTTCCTTTCCTTTCCCAATCCTTCCCAACCCTTCCCAATCCTTCCTTTCTGCTGTCCAAACTTCATCAGCCAAGACGACTGCCCCTCCTACTGCACCACGCCCACTGGATTCTTCTCCGCTTTGCCACGGGCTGTATCCAAGGAATCTTCTCCAGCCACACAACCAGCGTCCCTCCAGCAGCACCGGACGACAGGGACGCGCAGCTGCAGCTCCAGCTGATGATGGGCCCAACTGAGCCAGCCCACAAGGCCAGGCAGCTCCTGGGCTCCCCAGCCCCATGGACAGCTCCGGCCCTTCCAGTCCTTTCTGCTGCCCTCACTTCCTCCCTCCGCTTCCCCTCAGCTCAATAAACATTCGCTCTCTCCCCCGCAGCTGCATCTTTGGGACACTCACTCGGCACAAACCCTCAGCCCTGCAGCTCACGGGCCGCTCCTGCCTTGCTTTGGCCCCTTTGCGCCGTGGGCACACACACAGGGACAAGGGCACTGCAGGCTGCAAAGGGCCCTGTCCTGAAGGGCCACGGCCACAACAGGGAGTGCACTTCAAGATCTGCATGGACACACTCAAGGCCACAAGTCTGAGCCTCCAAAACACACTGCGAGTGACAGGAGCTGGAGCTGGAGTGCCTGTGGCACTTGGGAGAGGGGCAGGGGAAGGGGGAAGGCTGTGAAGAGCAGCCTTGGCTTCTGCCTGTACCTGCAGAGACCGAGCCAAGCAGCTGCCAGCAGGGTCTGTCACCCACCTTTCAGCAGAGGTCTGAGCAGGAGCATCTCTGTCCACCTGAGAGCCCAAAAGCGCTTTTAGAGAGGTGGCAATTATAAAAAAGGCTTTTATTCTCACTCTTGTGCCCTGTGTGACCTGCTGTAAAGCAAAATCACAAGTCATGACGGTGCTTTGTGGGTGAAAACATGAACTTGTTGGATTGTTCCAGGGGTCAATATTTCTTTCTGGTAGAAGAAATAACTATTTTGCAGCTCAAAATCTCCCTATTTCCGTTGAGGGGGAGTTGATGGGTTCACCCATGGATTTACTGGCCACAAATGCTGGATGCTTGGCTCTGCAATGACCCTTACTTCCCCATGCAACCCTTCTCCTGGATATCCTGTCCCACTGGAAAAGCCAAAATAGGCTCTAATCACTGCAAACCTCCACAGGATTACTCCAGGAATTCCCGTGGGATAAGCCCCCACTGAGTGAACCCTTTCTCTGGTGACATTTTGGGCTCCTCCTCACACTCTTAGTGTTTTCTGGTTCCCAGGTGTTTCACATCTGAGCTCACAGGTGCTCTGATCTCCTCCCACAACCCTACTCCTGTCACAAAACCCACCCTGCACTACCAATCTTCTTGCATTAATGATCCTAACTACCTGTTTTCCAACCACCATGTATGGAAATGAGTTGTTCTTGCAGCTCTGAGGGGATTCTGCCCTCAGAACCCTCTCGTACACCTTGGGAGCAGATGGAGAAGGGCAGGTATTTCCCTTATGCCCCAATCCTGCTGCCTTTGGCCCAAATCCTGCAGTAACTCCAGAACACCACTCTCAGTGTAGGAAGAAATTCTTGGCTATGAGGGTGGTGAGGCTCTGGCACAGGTTGCTCAGAGAAACTGTGGCTGCCCCATCCCTGAAAGTGTTCATGGCCAGGTTGGATGAGGCTTGGAACAACCTGGTCTAGTGGAAGGTGTCCCTGCCCATGGCAGGGGTTGGAAATAGATGAACTTTAAGGTCCCTTCCAACCCAAGCCATTCTGGGATTCTATGATTCTATGAAGTACAGAATATGATTTACTTTTACCAGCTTTCCCAGGTGAGTTTGTGCTAAAGATGCATTTTTTCCAGCAGTACCCCCAGCCAGCAGGAGAAAGAGCAGAGGATGCTCCTGGGCCAGCCCCTGTTCCCATGCAGAGAGTGGGAGATGCTTTAACCCTTCTGGTGCTCCAGGGATTGAATTGCCCTCCAAAACCTGGAGATTTAGCAGAAGAGCTGCTTGTAGAAATACCTCCAGTCAGACAATGGCCCTGGTTAAAGATCACTTGTAGGCAAAAACAAAGCTTTCCCAGGGCTTGGTGATGGTTCCCTGGACTGAGTTCCCCTTCTCAATCAGCAGCAGGTTCCTCTCATCCCTTCAGGGGAATGGCTGGGGACAGGTCAATGTTTAACCCAGCTGGGAAGGACGTGTGGAGCCAGCAGGGAGTTGCCCAGGCTCTGCAGTCACTCACAGAGATCCCTCCATGTTCAGGGAGGACGGTGCATGAAGGAGTTTTCCTCCCCTTTCAAAGCCCCCACTCTGCAAAATGGGCCTGAGCTCTTCCAAGGCGCACCCCAAGGTGACCAAGGTGGCACCGATGCGCCCCACAGAGGACCTGCCTTCTCTCTCTGCCCTGCACCAGCTCTCCAGTGTGCCAGGACAGCCCAGCCTGCACCCATCAGACATGGAAAAGTGGGGAAAACCCATCTTCCACCTGGAACTTCCACCTCTCCGGGAGACCTGGTACGGGAGAGCCTCTTCAGGTAAGGACGTCATGGCTGGAGTGTCATGAACTAGTGGCACCAGCTGGGGCTGTGGGTTCACCCACTGCAGGGTGGGGTGGGTGTAGGTGTGTGCACAGGCTGTTCTGCATCTGCTTTTGGCCGTTTTCAGGATATTTTAGTTTTTGGAAAACTCATTCCCCTGTCCTGTATGGGGCTGATTTCCCAAGCCAGGAGCAGAGGAAGGCAGACAGTGTGGCTGCTGTGTGTTTTCCTACAAAGAGCACCATGCAGCCTTTAAACTCCCTCTCTACCCAAATCATTCCTGGAGGTAAGGAGGAGGTTGGAATCCCTCTGGAAGTGGATGTGTAGCTTTGTATGATGAGCTGGATGGCAGCAAACACTTCCAACAGCTGTTTTAGGTGAGTGTAGTGAGAAACTTCCGTGAAAAGCAGCAGAGTCTGAGGAAGTGCAATGCAGAGGAAGGAGGATCTGCAGCCCTGCCATCCTCCTCCCCTTTCCCATTCCCAAAAATCAATTTCTGACACACTTTGAGTGGCCTTAAGTGCTCCTGCTTCACCAGGGACTGGATATATCCTTCAGGATCGTTCATCAGGAGGCATCAGGAAACTGTGAAGCATGGCATGATAGCAGTGACATTCGTGGAACAGAGGTCTTGGGGAGAATACAGATCATGTCTGGTTGTACAGCAGACAGACAGTAAGAGCAACTAAAATATTCATGTTCTGGAAACTTACCATCACAAGTGCTTGTTAAAAATGTGTATTTTACAAAAATCTCCCCCCCCCCCCCCCCCCCAAAAAAAAAAAAAAGCTATTTTCCACTTCTTTTTATTTTCAGAAATAAGAACTGTATGCTCAAGAGGACTTGAGCGATGTATTAGCACAAGCTGCTGTCTAAATAAGCAAAGAGAATTCCAAGAGAATAGATTTTGTTTGGGTTGTGAGGGTTCAGCTTGGCTTGTGTTAAATCCAGATTCCCCCAGAGGGGAGAACCTGCTGCTGCTAAAGTGCAAGGGTGAGAATCAGGAATCATAAGGATGCCTTGAGCTGGGGCTTGGTGCTGTTCCTTGCCCTAGGACTGAGCAGGTTTAGGGACAACAAGCCCTTGTCCCCAAGTTCGGTATCTGTACAGGATAAGGACAAACCTCCTACAGGACACATGCATGGATAGGATGGGAGGGAATAATTAAAAAAAAAAAAAAACCAAGGACACCCATAGCCTCATAAGGGAGAAATAACTTCCCCAAAGCTGTAACTTGCATGAGAACAAGCTTTTCCCAAGTCCCAGTCCCTTCCCTGTGCCATATCAAATTTCTCAGCATCATGAACTGCCTCCTTAGAAATTTTCCTTAGATTTCCCCCTTAGAAATTCCCCATGTGCTAATTTGCCCTGCAGACAGAGGCAATGACTCAATAAGCCCCTTTTGCCCTGACAAGCTGCTATTTCAGTGAGTGTTCACCAACAGCTGAAGTTTGCACCCAAATGAGCCTCCTGTGCTGCGAATTTTCACTTCAGGTTCCCGTTCCTGCATGTGCGGAGCAGCTGCAGCTTCACTCAGGGGTTAATCATTGTCAGGGCTCTGCAGAGCACGGCAAACATTTATCTGATGGAGTCACTGTATCCTCCCATACCTCAACACCCTCACGGTAAGAAATTCCTGACCGTGAGGGTGGGGAAGCCCTGCCAGGTTGCTCAGAGTAGCTGTGGCTGCCCCATTCCTGGGAAGTGTCCAAGGCCAGGCTAGATAAGGAGCAACCTGGGATAGTGGAAGGTGTCCCTGCCCATGGCAGGGGTTTGAAACTGGATGATCTTTAAGATCCCTTCCAACTCAAACCATTCCATGATTCTATGACCACCTTCTCTCTCTTCTCCAAGAGCCCAGCCTGGTGATCTTCCATGAGGCTCATTGATGCCCCCCGTAAGCTGACCCCCCAAGTATTATTTTTTCTTGTTAAATGTAACTATTAAATTTGGCATCATCTAAAATGTAATTCCTGCACTTCATCCCCAGCTCTTCTCCCTTGTGGCCACCTTGGGCCTCCCACCACGTGGAAGCAGGTGCTGCTCAGCAACACCTCTCTCAACTTTGTGTATAAAATGGAACTTAAACACTTCAAAACAGTTTTTTTGGGGAGAAGAGGTGGGATAAACAGATAAATTGTTTTGTAAAAGAACTGCTTACTGCACAATCAAGTGTTTATTTGTGCAGGAAAAGAACAAAAGAGGCAGTGGTGTCCACCTGGGAGCACCAGGGCAGAACAGGCCCAAGCCTGGATCACATCCAGGCCTCAGCAAAAGCTCTGCTTTAATAAATAACAGGGGATCAGTGGTGTGTAACACGTTATTCTGGGCTGATTTCCAGGGTCTATGATCATACCACTTGTCTGACCACAGCCCTCTAACTCCTGCATGACCGGCTGCTCTAGCCCAGCTCTGCCACGGTCAGTAAATCATTGGAGGTATTTCTCAGTCCCACCAAAAAATAACAGTAATAAAACTCAGGGGCTGAGCAGCAAGAAGGAAACCCAAACTGCTGCCTGTGCCCAATTTTTACAGGTCAAGCAGTGAGGAAGCAGCAGAGCTCAGGGTTTTCTTGGCCAGCTGATGGTCACAGGCCAAGGGAGGAGCAGAGAACGCTTGATCACACAGGGGACCCAGGGGCTGGGAGAGGCCACAGGAGACACAAGGATGGTTGTGGTCACATGCAGGATGTATGAGAGGTTGTAGAGCGAAGCTGGAGAGGTACATGGCAGATATTTGTTAAAAATCACAGGCACAGGTGCATCCACTTTATTTCTTCAGCTAATAGAATACTCCATGTGTTACTGGAGTGTGCAGAGAGAGAATTTAGTGGGACAAGCCAGCCAAAAAACAGGGCAGAAAGCTATTGCTGAGTACATCTAAGCAGCTGATGACCACCCAGAAGTAACTTCATCCATTTCTTTAATCTTCCAGGGCCCCTCTCTTTCAACACTGCACCCGAAAAAGAAGGAGCCAGCATCATTAAGCAGCACCCGCCTCGAAGACCTCAAGTAAGGCGAGTTTGAGAAGCTCCTCAGGAGCTGCTCTGTTTGACCCCTTGATGTGGGCTTTCCAGGGACATGGGCATCCCTAGATGAGCTTTATGTTCTATGGAGACACCCAACAAGGACACGTGTCCCAGTGTGGGACATGAGGCCACCTCTGCTGTGATGTCCCACTTTCCTTTGGGATGGATGGGCACCTGAAGCCAAATCCTGGTGCTCCCAGTGGGCAAATGTGGTCAACACGGAGCCCTTTGCAGAAGGGATCCAAATTGCATTATGTGGGGCTGGTTTTGGCTCTTCAGCCCAAGTACCCCATAAAGGTCTGGCACCAGCTTAGGGACCAAGAGTCAGGTAAAGAAGAGAGGCAGGTAAAGCAGATAGACATGCTTTGCAGTAAGGGATGCTGAAAGAGGAATTATTTTAGGTTTCAAGAACTTCTCTGAATGCTATGTCCCTGCACACACTCGCCTCAATTTCCCCATCCTGCACTTCCCAGATTTCTTCCTCCCCAAGGCCCAGAACCAGTGACTCTACCTGACCTGGCAGTCAGGTTTTTCCTCCACACAAGGGTTACCACTACATAACTAAAGCTCAGAAATATCTTTCTACTTTTATTTCTATCTTTATTTCTATCTATCCCTGTACTTTGCACTGATTTGAGGCTGCAGCTCAAATCCTATGTCCAGTCATGGGCAAGGACACCTTCCACTAGCCCAGGTTGCTCCAAGCCCTTCTAACCTGGCCTTGAACACTTCTAGGGATGGAGCAGCCACAGTTTCTCTGGACAACCTGTGCCAGGGCCTCACCACCCTCACAGCCAAGAATTTCTTCTTAAAATCTAACCTGAACCTGCTTGGAGCAACCCTGGTCTAGTGGAAGATGTCCCTGCCCATGGCAGGATGTTGGAACTAGATGGTCTTTAGGGTCCCTTCCAACCCAAAGCATTTTTAAGAACTTTATGATTCTATGAACAGCAAACCTGCTGGAGTAGGGGTGCTTTGCTTGAGCCTTCCTTGCTGTGAATAAAGTCTTTTTAATATAGTAAAGAACAGAAGAGCCACTAGGCAGCTTCAGTTAAACCCCCTGCACTAGAGGTCATGGCTCTGGGTGACATTGGTGGCTTCAGAGAGCAGAGGCTGCATAACTTGTCCCTGGACTTGGTGGGAGGATGTGACAGCAGCACCTGAAGTGAGCCCAGCTTCACCCTGTGAATTGTTGTGCAGAATCACAGCCTCCTTTAGGAATCTCCTACCAGCATGGAATTTTTAGTCCCTGATCTTATTTCCATCACGGCTGTACTTAAGTGTTATTAAAACACTGTTAATACTCTTTGCAGGACAAAGACACTGTTAGTCTTACCCTGTGCTTGTGCCATTGTTCTTAGGGAGTGTGCACAGCACCAGCAAAAGCCCTTTTTCCTGTGGGAATATCTTCAAAGGCAGCAGAGCAGGATGGTGAGGCCTTCTCAAGGACTTTTAGAGGATTTTGGTCAGACAGTATTTCCAGAGAAAAAGCTGGTGAGGTTCACACCAGCTAAAGAAAAGAGTCGATTTCCCAGCCAGGGACACAACTTTGTCCAAAAGCCTGGAGCTTGGCTTCCCCACCAGGGGTTGGGAGATGAGCTGAGGGATGTGGGAGGTTATTTGCCTCCATCCACCCCACGCTGACAGATCCTTGGTGGCATCCAGGAGTGATTCACGGCCCGGACTGCAGTTTGTGGTGTCACATGCTGCCACCTAGTGCCATTTGTTCAGTTTCATGTTCAGTTTTGTGGGTTTTTTGATGCTAAGAGACGTTTGAACTTCAGGGCTGACAAGGAGTTCCACCTTTACGTGACGTTGCTGACGTTTTTTCTCCTGATTTTTGCACAGATTTAAAGGATGCTTCAAAATTACAGTTCAGGCTTTGGCAGCAGTTCAGTGCAGACACTCAGAGACATGTCATCATTTATTGGACACTAATTCGTATTCAAGGAGTTAATGATGTCCCAAATAAACTCTAGGTCAGGTCTTACTGTCAAAGTCTTTGATTATGCCCCCCTTAACTTTTATGGAAGCTATCCTGAGCTCTCATTCTAGAAGGGGACACTAGCAAGAGTGAAATCAATATCCCTGGAAGTGTTCAAAAAGTGTGTAGTTGTGGCCCTTAGGGACGTGGTTTAGTGATGGACCTGGCAGTGCTGGGTTAATGGTTGGACTTGATGATCTTAGAGGTTCTTTCTAATCCTAATAATTCCATAAACACCATGACATAAAACATCTCGTGGTTTGAAATTATTTTAAAAGGCATTTTTAGCTCCTCAAGGTAAAAATCCATGCTCAGAGCAGCCTGTAGAGCAAGTCTTTACCCAGTTCCACCCCCACTAGGAAAGGCATATTGTACCATGCACAGTTCTGCAAAGAAAGGTCTTACTTAGGCCAGCATAAAAAAGACTGGTTGGACAGAGGGAATGATGCTCTGGCTCTCCTACAACTGGGATCTGCCCTTGGATGACCTGATAGGATACTTTAGATTACATTATGGCACCTCTCCCTGCTCCAGCTTTGCCATGAACAGTGTGAGCTGTGGTTTGTCTTCACCCTGGTCTTGGGTGGAGCCTTCAGGTTCAAAGAGAAACACCCACAGGGATGAAACTAATGTCAGACCAGGCTTTTGCTGCTTTGAATGTGATGCAAGAGACTTCCCCAGCTTTGTCTGCTCCTGAAGGGACAAAGAAGATGTTCGTCTCCCTGAGATGCCAAACTCTTTCCTGTATCCCAAGCAGCCAGGCCAGAGTTGGAGCTGGCAAAATGTCAGGGTAGTTTCATATCAGGTTTCATGAATCTGTGGAATGAGCAATGCTAAATATTATAAATATTGAACTTGTAGAGGCTTGAACCTGCCGTCCCTCCACAAACAATCTCTCCTGTGAAGCCATGGAGTCAGCGAGGAGTGGCTGCAAACCCAAAATCAAAGGTAAACACGTGAGTTTTTGCCCACGCACAGGCCATTCCTGGCTGCAGGATCCTTTCCCTTATAGTTTGGGCACCACAAAGTGCAGAAGTTGGTGTTTTACACTGTTTGTGCTCCTGTCCCTGGCTGAAACACCGGTGTATGTGTGAAAAGATCCAAAATAAGGGGAAAGTTTCTGAATCTCCAGCATGACAATTCCCTGGATGAGGTGGACCTGCTGAGCCAGGATATTAAATATTTTTAAGACCAAAAATGTGAGAGGACCACCTTTTTTTAGTGGCTGGGTAACTTGAACACCCACCACCTGCAGTCATGGGGAGAAGGGAGAGACCTTATCGCTCTCTACAATTCCCTGGAAGGAGGGTGGAGCCAGATGGGAGTTGGGCTCTGCCCCCAGATAACAAGTGACAGGATGAGAGGAAACGGCCTCAAGTTGTGCCAGGGGAGGCTACTATTGGATCTTAGGGAAAATTCCTTCACTGAAAGGATTGTCAGGCATTAGAACAGGCTGCCCAGGGAAGTGGTGGAGTCACCATCCCTGGAAGAAACGTGTGGATATGGCACAGGGGGACATGGTTTGTTGGTGGGTTTGGAAGTGGGGGTTTAATGGTTAGACTCAATTATCTTACAGACCTTTTCCAACCTTAACAACTCCATAAGTCCATGATTTTAAGCCTGCAAGTGCTGTGTGCTGTAAACAGCCCCTGCAACCCCAAACATGCAAAAGTGGTTCTTCCCTTTGGATCGTGAGATTATCTTGGAGAACTGACTAGACAAGGTAACACCTCGGGGGGCAGAAGCACTTATGCATTGTTTTAATGAAGTTTTTTCCCCCTCATGCCCCAGAGCTGTGAGATAAACTGCAAGCACAGTGGAAATCTGGGATAAATTTCTGCAAGCTGGCTACGCAGGGAGATCGTTTATCCAGGGGCGCCCGAGGGGTTTGTGAGCTGGTGGCTCTTCCTTCCTCTTTCAGAAGGTGCAGGTGTATTTATTTACATCTTTAAATGCATGGTAGGTGCTGGAGAAGAGGGGGCAAAGCCTGAATCACCTCCCTGGCAGGCGACAGCACTTACACAAGCTTCAGATGCTGGACTTGACCCGCAGGCGACGAGAGGTAATGCCGAGATGGATTTGGGGAGGGGATGTTAAAATGTGTTTGCTCCTCTACTGTTTGTGTTGACGACTCTTTTGCAAACCCAGGAGGAGCTGAAGCGAAACCTCCACAGGGAAGCAAAAGCCAGTAAACAAAAAATCAAGGAATTCAGCCCCATGGACATCCTTGACACCCTCCAGAGAAGCAACACCAATGAAAGTCGAGGCCCCATCCCTGCAGAGCACAATCAGCATTTTCATGAAGACGACCATGGTGAGTAGAATAATTTTCCAAGGAGCTGTAAAACTCACCAACCTCTTACATGTCATCAAAGAGGTTTCCACTAGGGAAGATGCTCCCGCTGGTCCATTTCCTGCAGTGACAAGATGCAGCTTCAAAGGGCTGGGTGGAGAAGGCTGGGAGATGTGCTTTTAAGACAAAGCATTGGGATGCCTCAGAGAGGTCCCAGGGCTCTGGGCTGTTTCTCTGGCAGCATCCAAACAGACCCAAGTGGATGTGGATTAAAAGCCATGGACAAGGCAGAGAGGTTTAAATCCAAAGTCCTTAGAGCCAGGCCCCTGGAGGAACAGGTTCCCAGTGGCAGGAGAGTCTTACTTGTCCCATGTCCCCTGCACAGCAAACTGGGTGTGAGAACAGAGGGTGTCCCTGGGGCCCAACATCCTTAGAGAGTCAGGGCATCCATCAGGAAAAAGCATCCCAGGATGATGGATGGGTGTGTCAAGGGAGGTGTAGGTTGGATATCAGGAGAGGTTTTTCACCCAGAGAGTGGCTGGGCACTGGAACAAGCTCCCCAGGTCAGTGGTCACAGCCCCAAAGCTGATGGAGCTCAAGGAGCATTTGGGCAACACTCAGGCACATGGTGGGATTCTTGGTGTTTTCCTGTGTGAGGCCAGGAGTTGAACTTGATGATCCTTGTGAGTCCCTTCCCACTCAGCATATTCTATGATTCCCTGATATTTTGGGGTGTCTTCTCTGTCAGAGCACCCTTGGGAAATCTGGGAAGCTCAAATGAGGCTCATCAGGAGAAAGAACTGGAGAAAGAGCCTCTTCAGCAACAGGTGCCAGAGCTGTAACAGCTGCTCCTGGCTTTACACCCTGCATGGTTCACCAACGTGTTGCATCCACATGCAGAGCGGAGCCTCTGGACTCCTGCCACCCTCAGATGACCACGGGGGAAATGTTACAGTCACTCTGGTTAATCACTATTTAAAGGGTTTTTTTATATACAGAAACTGCTTCCCACTGTCCCTTAGGAAAGGGAAGGTGAAGTGAATCCCATCCACCACTTCAGACTGGACTTCCAGACACGAGCCCTGTTCTGCTTTGCTTGCACGTGACAACTCTTGGCACAGGCTGGCAATGAACCACCAGGGGTAAAAGTGCTTAAATCAGTGAAAAACTTGTCTGAAGGTGAACTTTCACCAGGAGAAAGGGGAACAGATGTGGTATCTCCTGTTCCCTTGTGTTTCTTCACCTCAGCTCTCTTCTCTTTGGGGTTAAAGCCATATTGCCTCCTGCCAGACTCTATAACCTCACCAAATATAATCCTGGGTGAATTCTACCTCACCCTGCCCAGCCCTGAGCAGGGGGTCTGGTCTTACAGAGGATCTCTCATGATCTTTACGTGCCTCCAGCAGCCCATAGCCCTTTCCAGCTAAACCCCAGGTGCCTGAGGATGCAGCTCAGCAAACACACGATGTTTGATTTTTTTTTTTCTCTCCTCAAGGAAACACGTGGGGTGGAGGACCCTCCAGACGACAGGATGGAGCTGAGCTGTCTCCAGGCAGGAGAGGGAAGGTCGACCTGTGGTTCTGCAGGGAGCCACGGACGAGGGATCTGTTCTGGGACACCTCCAGCACGGGGTCTGAGGAGTGGGAAAGGGAAGAGAAGATTCACCGCAAACCTGCACTCGTGAGGACCAAGACGGAGAGAGTTTCCCTCTTTGATGACTTCTTTGACAGGGATTTCTAGGGGCACAGCTTGGGGTGAGAGGGATGCGGTGAAGAAACAAGTCCCAGCTCTGGTGGGACTGGAATCCTCCCCCCTGGATGGGTGGACTGAGGGTGGAGACAGTGCTGGCTGCAAGTGGCATTTCTGGGAGCACGGGCCAGGGGAAAGGACAGCTGGAAACGAGGAGATCACTGATGTGGAGCAAATAATGACTGAAAATGCTTGGACAGAGCAGCAATGAACTGGGGGCAGAGAGAGGAGGATGGAAAAAAACAAATAAAACCAAACAAAACCCAAACAAAACCAAACAAACAAAAAACCAAAAAAACCCAAACCCACAAAAAAACCACCAAAAACCCCAAAACAAAAAAACCTCACAAAAATCAAAACCGAAACCAAACCAAACAAACAAAAACAAAACACAAAAAACCAAGCAGAACTTGGAGAAAATTCTGGGTTAGCCCTAAATATTAAATTCCAACTGAAATTAAATGTTTCACTTGCTTTTGGGTAACTCAGTCTTTATGTTTAAGTTGGTTTTAACCTTTTCTAAACCACAAAACCCAGTTCAAAAAGCAAGCTAAAATGATTTACTCAGGAAGTCTTTAAAATAAATATTTTGGCATTTCTAAAATTCCTTTTTTAACTTCTTCTTTTTTTTTTTCCCTCACCTCTCCTGTACCAGACACGGAAATACTTGTACTTTCTTCAGTATCAACCTCCAGTTTTGTAATATTCTGAAAAAAATCTGGTTTTGGTTCACTTCTGTTCTATCGAAGATGTTCTTGCACTTTCCATCTCACATAAACAGTATTTTTAAATTAAATGGTCTGCTTTTCCTTATAAAATAATTTGTTAGCTGAGAGAGAACTTCCCCAGTTCTCCTGTCTCCTATCTGGTTGTCCATCAAATCTTATCCTTTTGTTTTTCAAGCTAGGACACCGAGAATAACTAGACCTGGAATCAGTTCTCAATTATCCAGCACAAGCAGGGCTTGGGACAGATGAAGCTTGTCCTGCATGGCTGTCCCAAACCTCTGCTACCTCCCACAAAGCTGTCGTGGTGTGTCTGCTTTTCATCCTCAGCTTCCTGGCTTGCACAGCCAGGAAAAGAGCAGGAGACACATTTTCACACTTATTTAAGGGAATGACTCTGTTTCAGCAGTATTTAGCTTTATGGAAAATCCCAGGTAGAGCAGGAGCTGGAAATCACAGCTTGGAAAGCCCCAAACCAAAGCTGGAGCCTCCAGCCCAGCACTGAGCTCCTCTGTCGTGATTTCACCTCCTTTTGGCATCCCAGAATGTGTGGCCCATGGCAACATATCTAAGGCTTCATGGGGAAAAACTCCTCTTTGGAAAAATCCCACCACACAGGGAAGGAGGAGGAAGAGGAATTATTTTAATTAGGGAGAAGAGCTGCTCGTGGCTAATGAGTCCATGTCTGGAGTCTCTGTGTTTTCAAAATGCCCCGAGAACTTTTGCTTGATAAGCACGGTCATCGTGTGTGAGCTGGAAATATCATGAGAGCTTTGAGGATGTGCTGAAAAGGTCAATGATTTAATGGGCTGGAACAATTAATCTGGCACTTGTCTATACACCTGTTCTCTTAATGATGTGACACATCTCCCTTCTGTGTTCCCATCTGTCAACAATTAAGCTATAATTGGTGGAAATGCAATTTATCTCAGATGGAGCTGATTAGTTTTCCAATAATCGTGTCGCCAGCCCTTGGGGAAGAGCGCTGCCCACGGACAACTGCCTGTGGACCAGTCGATCCATTTCCCGGACTGTGCAAAGAGGAGACTCTGAGCATTAATTTATCAATCTACAGTGCGCAGGATTTGCTCTTACGGAGGCAATAAAATCAGCAAATCTGCCTCCATTAGAGGGGAATGGCTTCACACTGACAGAGGGCAGGGTTAGGTGGGATATTGGGAAAAAATTCCTGGCTGTGAGGGTGGTGAGGCCCTGGAATGGGCTGCCCAGAGAAACTGTGGCTGCCCCATCCCTGGAAGTGTTCAAGGACAGGTTGGACAGGGTTTGGAGCAACCTGGGATAGTGGAAAGTATCCCTGCCCATGGCAGGGGGTTGGAACTGGATGGTCTTTAAGGTCCCTTCCAACCCCAAACTTTCTGTAATTCTATGAAATATTTCTGGTGCTCAAAATTGTTTGGCCGTGCTGTTCTTGGTTGTGTTAATTCATCACAACCTGCAGAGAGGCAGGTGGCAACTCATCCTCTTCCCATGTTTTCTAACATCCTTCCAGATGCTGAAAATGAAAACATTTTCTTTGTTACTAAATGTGAAAATTTGACTTCTCCACAAATTGCAGAAGATTGAAACAACCCCCAACCTTACACAATTGCTGTTCTGCAACTCAGCAAGGAAGACTTTACAGGGCTGTTTTCCTCTGCCTAGTTCCCAATCCCAAATGCTGGGATATTAGCTCATCATTGGAGGGCTGAGTCATTTTAATCAGCTTTAGAGAGGAGGAAACTCTCCACTCACTATTTCTGAGTGCACACAGCTTCAGTCCCAGTCACACACCACAGAAACCAGTCTGTGTTTTAGCAGAGCCCCTCACCTTGACCCCCGTGTGCCTCCCTGGGGAGGGAGGGACTTGGAGCACTGCTGCATCCTGGCTGCAGGAATGCATGTGGAATGAGCTTTAAAGGATAACAATGAGGAAGCCTGTGCAGGGTTTGATTTTGGTGGTGGGGAGCAACGTGCAGGCAGAGGAGGAAGAGCCAAGAGGGAAGGTTTCAGAGCAGGGAAGTAGAGCAAGGTCTGTCTGACCTAATCCTGGCTACCTCAGGGCTGTGAAGATGATATAAACCAGTCATTGTGCTGTTAGAGCTGGGAGGAGGACTCATGGGTATCTCCAGGGGCTACATTTCTCCCTGCCTGTCCTGGGCTGGGGTGAGTTACCTGCTGGCTAAAAAAGGTGCTTTGGTTGCTATCTCACACCACTCAAAGCTTTTAGGCAAGGCTGGACCCATCCTGCAGGTCAGATGCGTCCCCACAGAGGAGCTGTGCTGAGGCAGAAGCTGCTCAGCTCAGATTCAGCACCTTCAGAGAATTCACATGATCAGTTTTCACCAAAATGACAAAGAACGGAGATTTTATGCAGTTAATGATGTGGATATGGGCATCAGCAAACGACACAGCCCAGAAGAAAGGGGAGATGTAGGTCAGATAGATCCCTGCCCCAAAGCACAAGGACATTCGATCTTCCCAGGGAAATGGTTCTAGGATGTTTTTGTTGCTGCAAACATGGCCAGAGCAAACCAAGTTCCTCCAGCTCAGGATGAGCTGAGCCGGTTCTGCTGAAGTGTTAAATCGAAATGATAATGCTCAGCCTGAAGTCAGCACCAGCCTGGCAAAATCATTAGCAATTAAATGTGCAGTTCATGAGAGGAAATGCCAATGAACCATGCTTTTGTATTTTAAAAAGCAGCCAGGGCTGCTGCAACATCTCTGTTACTGTTCCTGAGGAAAGAAAAAAAAAAAGTTATTTAATTACACTTAGTAAAGAGAGGTGTTAGGTAAATAAAGCTGAACAAAGCCACGCTGTAACTGGATCTCGTTGGCTAGTCTGGATTAATGGGATTTTCTAACCTTTCTGGGCTCTGTCCCACCTGGTGCTCAGAGCATTTGACCTCCTCAGGAATTTGAGTCTTCAGCATCACATCCTCCTTCCCCAACACACACAAAAAAACAGAGAAAAAACCCCCCACCATATAAGCCACTGGGGTGTATCCAGTAACCTTATTAAACCCTTTATCTGCCCTGCCTCAGGGGAAGGTGTGTGACAGGCCACTGGGATTGCCTCAATCTGCTTACACAAAGCTGCAGAGAAAAGCACCCGAAAGCACCGACTCCAGCAGCTCCCTTTCGGGCTGTACAGGAAGATTAAAGTCTTATCAGCAGCTTGAAAAATACCAAGCCTGGCACGTTTTGGTTTGTCTCACCCGGTATCCTCGGACTGCTCTGTGATAGCACCAGCCCTAAACCTGTTCTTACAGAGTCCAGCTTTCTTTAGATAATTCCTGAGCAAGGGCAAGAGGTGGTAAAAGGGTCCCCAGATGAATTAAGAGGAAGGAGGCAGCTCCTGTTTCTCTCTGAGCCTCTTTACCTACTCCTGGATTCTGGAATGCCCCTCCTTCCCAGCAGTGCTGGCGTTGTCTCTGCCCCAGAGAGAATATCCATCTCTGCCAATGCCACAGAGCTGCCCAAAGATCCCTCCTGTTCTTGCAGGAGTAGGAAAAAAAACTTATTTCTTGCTTAGCGAAAGGCTTGTAGCTTTTTGCCACCTACTGACATGTTTGGGAATGGCTCATCCAGCGAATTCCTGCAGGAAGGCTCAGTCGTGCACTGGCTCTGGCTGATGGTGCATTCAGGATCGGCTGAGAGGGACATGAAAATAAAAGCAGGAGTAAATACAGCACTTGGAAAACTGTCAGGAGAGCACCCCCTATTTCATGGAATCACAGAATATCCTGAGTTGAGAAGGGACCCACAAGGACCATCAAAGTCCAACTGCTGGCCCTGCACAGGACACCCCAACAATCCCACCCTGTGCCTGAGAGTGTTGTCTCTTTGAGCTCTGTCAGCCTTGGGGCTGTGACCACTTCCCTGGGGAGCCTGTTCTGGTGCCCAACCACACTCTGGATGAAAAACTTTTTCCTTATATCCAACTTAAACCTCCCTTGACACAGCTTCCTTCAATTCCCTCTGGTCCAATACTTGATTGGTTGGTCCTTGCTGTAATTCCCTCTTTGTTTCAGCACCTGTTTCCTCATTCCAGAGAGAAGGAGCACGGGAGAAATCATGCATCCTGACGTGCAAAACAAATCTTTGGTTCCCTCCTCTTCTATCTTGCCCCAGTTCATCTATTTTTTCCCCTTTCTCCCCACCTAAATTCCCTGCCTGTCTTTTGCCCTTACCCGAGGGACCGTCTTGGCTCTGCTGAGGGCTTCTGCTCAGAGGCCAGGAGGTCCTTGCGGGCCCCTGCTCGTGGCTTAAGCTTCATTTCAATCCTGTTTTGAGGGCTTAAGCAGGGCACAGAGCCAGCAATGTTGACTCACTGCTCAGAGTGCAGGAGTGAGGGAGACGAGCACACGAGCCCCGTGTCTCCAGCCAGCGATGATGGACAACTGCTCCGGGAGAAAAGAGGAGCAAGAAAGCACCAGTTTTTCACTCACCCCTTGCAGAAACACACTTTTAATTAAATACTGAGGACCAACAAGTTGCCTCTTACCTGTGACCACTTAATCCCAGTCCCAAACAGCACCCAAAGGCAACCAGAGTGGCTTAGGACTCGGGTCTGAGCTTAAAATCTAGGCAGTTATTTAATGTGCAACCCTCCTCCTTCAGTTTAACCAAGCTGACCTAAAAATACAAATTTTGCCACACAAAGATCCCTTTGAGACTTGTTGGAGCTGATCTTTTTTTTTTTTTTTTAGTGTTCCTCTTGAAAAAAAAGCTACTGAAGCTTCATTTTTACTACGTGTCACTACAAGAGGGCTGTGAGCCCATTGCTGCTCTGGGGATTGATAAAATAACACACTTAAACCTTTTTTTTTTAAGGTCATATGGAGAAGTAGCATACAGGGCTGACACAGTTCAGCATCCAAACTTGGATACTTAAAGGAGGAGATCTTACTCTGAGCAAAATTAATTTTGTGTGCAACGTGTCTGTAGGCCTTTGAAAAATGTATTTTAAAAAATTGTAGTTTTCCCTAATAATTTGCCACTCTTAACAAAAACAAACAAACAAACAAAAAACCCAAATAAACACCCCCCCCACACACACACACACATACACAAAAAAAAGAAAATAGAGAAATCAAAGAAACCACCAAGATTAAGGGCAGGGTTTGGGGCTGGGATTCTTCACTGGTTTT